AAATTGCTAATACGTTTGTAATACTTTCATCTCAACCTGAGCTTTTATCTACTCAACCACTAGAATTCATGGCAGTACCACCACCACCAGTACTATTAACTAAACCTCTCAACCCCTACCTTTTGAATCTGCAACAACAACATCTAGCATCAGCATACGTTGTGTAGCACTAGTTTCAAAGTCAATTCCACATTTCCAATTTGCCAGCAACCAATCTTCAATTCAACTCGGGCCATTTAAAAGTAATTTCAAAGAGGAGATAAATCAATAACAGCGACTCCAATAACAACAACAGCAGCAAACCAAGTCAAATGTAAAAAGTACCGTAATATTTTGAGCGAAGCTTCTGCAAGTCAATTTAGTAGTATCAATGCAAAAATTCAAAATGCAAGCTTTGGCTTTGTTAAACATGCATTCCTAGCGATATATAAAAGACCAAAATGTGCAGCGCAAGTGACAACTCAGCTTAACCTCCAGAACCTCTTAAAGACTGAATATCACCACATAAATAAAAATATTTTTTTTACCAATTGGTAATTTTTCTTAATTGTTATTATTGGTTGTATTTTTAATTGTTATAATTGGTTACATTTTTTAATTAAGTACTTTTTTAATTACTTATCATTTTACATATTTCACTCTGCCCAAATATGAGTGTAAAATGAATTATTTTTCCAATGAAATAAAGTTTCTTAAAAATTTTTTTTTTTTAATTATATGAATATTATATATTTAAATACACCTCGAAATTCTCTACAACTTAAAAAAAACTTTTTTAACAACTGATTTGATGCAATTATAAAAAAATTTGAAACTATAGTTTGTTCCGTTTCTGAAAACATTTATAAAGAAATCTAAAATATGTTTCATATCCCACTTGTTTATTCACCAATTTTTAATTTTTTTTTGTCAATTTTCTTTACTTTTATAACATTTTCCTTTTCGTTATATAATATTCAAAACATTTAAAAGAATTAAAAAACTTTTAGAATAAATTTTAATGGGGTTTGAAACACCCATTTTAATGGGTCTAAAATTACCTTACAAATTATCAAAAATCAATATTTAAATCAAAATGCAAGTTCAATTTCAAAACTCTGAATCACTGTTACATATGTAATATTATATAATTTAATATTATATAATTTAAAAAAATATATAATGTAATATTATATAATATAAAAAAATTTAAAAAACACATAATGTAATATTATATAATTTAAAAAAATATTGCAGCTGCTCAAAAATAAATTGTTATTCTCAATATCTATTTTTCGTCTGTTTTCTTTCTATCTGAAATAATACAAAATTTACAATAAGAACATCGTTATATGCCAAATCAAGTTTAAAATTTTTTAAATTTTCTTGAAAAACATATTTTTATATTTATAAACATACTTTTGATATTTATCATTATAAGTATGTAAGTATGTAATATATATATGTATGTATATATATATATATATATATATATATATATATATATATATATATATATATATATATATATATATATATATATATATATATATATATATATATATATATATATATATATATATATATATATATATATATATATATATTTGAAAAACTTCACTTTATTGAAAGAAAATATTTTGCGGTAACTTTAAAAAAACTTTTGTTTTCAATGAAATAATATAGATCGATCCTTTTGATCGAGTACTCCACCTTGCATCGGTTAGATTATTATATTGATGGTTGGTAGTTCTAATTTGAACCGTACCACTCGTATATGACTTTGGCTCGGGGGTAAGCAGTCAGTAAGACTCGAGTCCTGTTTTTATTAGTTCACAAGAATGCATTGTATTACATTGCCTGACCCAGTGCTAGCTGGTGTAAATATCTCCTTCTGTGAAGGATTTCGTTATAGTTTTTACCAAAGATACTTTCTACCTAACTAGTTTTCCTTTAGTTTTCTTCATTTTCATTCTTCTCTTTTCTGTAATGTGATAGTTGCAAGTTAAGTAATGCAATGACAAGTTTTACATTCATGCGTGCTTCAAGTAGGACGCAATATAAAGACATGTTATTAAATATGTTTGAATTAAAAATTGAAGTTTGATTGTTTAAGTTTATCATTTCTTAGTTAGTAATTTATATCATTTAATTAAATAATTATTCAACCAATTCCAAACTCCAAAAATGTTCTTTATCGTTGACTTTCGTTATTTATGTTGAATAAATTTTATTCAAGTTAAATAAATTTTCTAACAAAAAATTTTAAATCAAATAAGGTGTTGCTTTTTTTGCTATAGTATATATATATATATATATATATATATATATATATATATATATATATATATATATATATATATATATATATATATATATATATATATATATATATATATATATATAATTTCTTATCTATAAATAAAATACTATATAACAATTATCATGGATTCAAAAAAACTATTAGAGAAAAAGTAAAAAAAAATTTACTTATTAGTATTACTGTGAATAAAACATTTACTGATTCATTTAAAAAACACAATAAATTCTACGCATTTTCATCGATTTATCTGAAAGAATAAATTAAAGAAACTAAAATTTTAAATAAAATTATTGTTTACTTTTTTCGTAAAAGAATTTTAAAATATATAAAACATAAGCGGTAATGAAAGTTATGTGAAAAAACCATCAAACAACGAAGTAGATGTAATAATAACTTAAATTATGCGAAAGCTAATTAAAAAAAAAACGGCTGTCAAATTCAGTAAGCATTGATATTTTTATTAATTTCTTTTAATCTAAATTTAGATATTAAATTTGTTTAATTTTTTTTTTTTTTATGTTTTTTCTAGAAATTGTCAAGACAAACTCTATTATGTAATTCGCAATCAAGTTTTATTAAATAATTAATACAAGCAAATGCTATTATCACGAATCCATAAATTAATAAAAATCAAATCTCATTTTATAAAATAACAAACCGATGATTTTATTATACTGTAAAAATACTCCTGACCCCGTCAACGCAAAATATGAACAACATGAAAAATATAAAATATATATAAAAAGAAAATTGGTATAACAAATAGCGCATAATGAGTGGGATGTTCTTCAGGTTTTGAGGAATTACCTATAAAAAAAAGAAGTACTTAAAAAACATTTAATGAAAAACCATGTTAAATGAAATTTTAAACTTTTTGTTTTACGTTTACAAAAATTTTCATACTATATAACAACTTTTGAGTTTAAGATTAAAAATGATTGGCTGAAAAGATATTTGTTTAAAATACAGTGTTCTAATTTTGTTTGAATTCGATGAAATGTTTTAAAAACTATAAACTAATTTTTTCACTTACTATACGAAAAAAAAATTATCTATAATACTTTTATCCATAAATAATTAACACTTAGTTGGTTAATAGAAAGAAATGAAGGTTACTGTTACTTCATACGTTATTGTAAGCTGCTGTCCGGTGACTATACTGCTGCATGGGTTCGGACTTTTTCTTTTGATAAAAGCAAAGAGATCTCGGATGGATTCTACTCAGCGCACTATTATTTTACATCTATGCATTTCTGAGCTTTGTGCAAATATTTTGCTTTTGATAAATGGAATATTTCATTTTACAGCAACTAGACCTTCAATTTATCTTTTTTTGCTACTTCGAATATTCATGGGTTTGTGTTATTGTACAAACATCTGGTTGACGTTTGATCGTTTTTTGCATACACAATTAACTATTAAATACCCTGTGTATTGGTCAAGGAAGCATACTATATTTTCTGAAGTTTTTTTATGGATTTTTAGTTTAGGATGCGGTCTTTTAGTTTTTGTTAAAAACCCCCATGTAATAATAATTTTGGATCTTACATTTGATATGATAGTTTTGGTATTTCCGACTTTCGTGTACTTGAATGCAATTGTTTTATCAAGAAAAATGAACAGCGTAAATAGTAAAAAAAGAAGCAGAAAAGGATTTTTATTAACAACATTGATAGTGTCGAGTTACATATTGCTAATGGTTATACCACATTTGATTTTTTCTGTATATACTTTCTCGAAAATAAAAATGCCCACTAAATTTATTTTAATATTGGATTTGACATTAGTTTCTGGTTTTTGGAGTCATGCAACTCTTTATATATTATTGTCTCCAAGTATTCGTCATACTTTATATCAATTTTTAAATATCAAAAAAAGAATAACGAGAAATAAGCATAAATTATCAGAGACAAGATCTGAGATTTTTCGAAGCCGTGAACTTTCAGAAGAAATAAAATTTTTGTCGTGAACTTTCAGAAGAAATAAAATTTTTGTCGTGAACTTTCAGAAGAAATAAAATTTTTGTCGTGAACTTTCAGAAGAAATAAAATTTTTGTCGTGAACTTTCAGAAGAAATAAAGTAAAATTTTTGCCGTGAACTTTCAGAGCCAATTTATTCAAAAATCGTATTATTACACAACCAAGATTTTTCTTAATCAAAAGATAAAATCTAAGAAATTTTTTTTTTAAGTGATGCTTTTAACTTTTTTATTTACTGATTATATAAGATTGTCATCGATTAGTTGTCAAACATATGCATAATTTTGTTAGATTAATAATGAATTTTATTTCCCATGAATCTAAAATAGTTTTGGGTAAATCGGTTTTGAATAAAAAATAGTTTTGGGTAAACTATAAAATAATACAGAAGTAAAAATGCATACTTAAAGTAAACTGAGGTAAAAGCTAAACGAAAGAAAAAAAAGAACGAGTTCAGAACTTTATTTCTATTCTTTTTACTGAAAGCCAATAAATATATATATATATATAAATATATATAAATATATATATACACAGTGCCGGCCTTAGCCTTTTTGCCGCACTCGTGCGAAATTTGTCCTGCCGCCCCTGAAAATTTTTTAAACGTGCTGGTAAATTACATGGAAAATAATAACAAATCGAATTCAAAAATAATACTTTACAATAAAACGCTACATACAAAGAATAATTTTTTGTTTATGTTTTTCACAAAATACATTTAATTTTTTAAATTAATCTTACGAGCCTTCTTATCACCAAAATCTTTGATTAGGGTTGAAAAATCAAGATTTTCAGCAATATTCTTTTCAATCGATAGGGTTCCTAAACTTGAAAGTCTACCCTGCGACATTGTTGACCGCAGATAGGTTTTTATTAGTTTCATTTTGGAAAAGCTTCTTTCTCCACTCGCTACAGTGACAGGTATTGTTAGCGAAATTCGCATTGCAATCCATGTGTTTGGATACAAATCTTGCATTTTGTGCTGTTTTATAAAGTTTAAAACAATAATAGGAGTAATTTTATCCTTTACCATTTTAGAAAGAAAAGGTTTAATGCTCATCAGTTCATTGCAAAGGAGAATACCATTAATGTCCGATTTTAGATTTACGGTAAGTTTACTTTGAAGAGCTAAACATGATTTTAGAATTTCTTCTCTTTTTTGCAAACTATCGACATTATACAAAAAACCCCAAACTTCGGAATAATTCTCCAACTGTATAAATCTTTCTCTCATTGAAATTAAAGATGTGTCTAAAAAAGGATTGAAGAAATCGATTTCTAATTTTTTTTCAGGAGAAAATAAATAAATCCCATCTTGGGCTGGTTCGTCAAAATGGCGTTTCACTCGTATTATTCTTTTAAGTGGTTTAAAAACAGGCTCCACTTGTAATTCTATAGCCAAATCCTTTGCTTTTATAATTGCATCTTTAAAACCACATTTTCTACAGTTTTCTAAAAATGAACAACAGCTTTTCAATAACTTTGCACATTGAGTGATGTCCATGTCTTTTTCTTGAAGAGTTTTACTAACAATATTGACTTGAAAAAGAACGTCATACCAGACAATTAAAGAGACAAGAAAGCTAAAATCTTTTAATTGCTCTCCTAGAGTTATCGCTTCATGTGCAGTTTCAGGATTACGAACGGCTTTAACATTAGTAATTTTTGCTTCCCACCACGTGTCACAGAGTTTCTTTGAATGCAAAATTTTAACATGATCAATTAAAATTTTCCATTGGCTCACTGAAGCTGAGAATAGAGTAAACAATCTCTGAAGAATACCGAAAAAAGCTATAGATTTTACTGAAGACCGTGCAGAGTCACTTATTACCAAATTTATACTATGGTTGCCGCAAGAAACATATAATGCTAAAGGATTAAGATTTAAAATCCTTTTTTGTACACCATTAATCTTTCCTTTCATATTTGATCAATTAACATACCCTTGACCTCTGCAGTTAGAGATTTCAAGTCCATGCTTAGTTAGCAACTTGATTAAAACCTCAGTAAGTCCTAAGTCTGTAGAATCAGAAACAGAAAAGAATCCTAAAAAGTACTCTTTAATTTCCACTCTAATATCTAATGACAAGTCAACAATTCGAATAGTAAGAGAAAGTTGTTCTTTTCTAGAAATATCAGGTGTACAATCAGCAATGATTAAATAGTAAACGGCTTTCAAGACTCGGTTTATTATTTCATCATTAACCTTTTGAGACATTAAATCTATTAACTCATTTTAAATATTTTTCCCGCAATAATGGTCTAAAGTGTCACCTTTTATTGCAAGTGCTAAATGCTTTTGCATCACAGGATCAAATTTTGCAAGCATCTGTATTAGTCCTAAGAATTTGCCGTTTTTAGGCGTAAACAGTTTATCCGAACTCCCTCGAAAAGCCACATTATTTTCAGCTAGGTAAAGAGTGATAATCATCAGCCGAAGAAGAACATTTTGCCATCGCAAACTGTCTTTTTCTATAATTTTAATTTCTTCATTATCTATAGTTTTTCCAGTTTTTAATCTTATTTCAGTTTCTACCCACTGTTGATAACATTTTATATGAGAGACGCTGTTTTCATGAACTCCCAATGTTTCAGTTAAATGTCTCTATATCTTGAAACCATCAGAGACTAAGTTTGACTTTGAATTATTATCAAAAGGTATACAGCAAAAACAAAATACGGAGTTTTTAGAATCTGAATAAACCAACCATCTACGGCAAAAGGTTTCTCCATTCACAAGCTTTCTATTGTAATAAATGCTAGAAAAATGTCGACCATTTCTATCTTCAGGGTATTTTTCCTTTGTAATTTGAAATGGACCAAGTTTGATTAAATGGTCCACAAAGTTGCTAGATCGAACAGTCGGCCAATGTCCACAATCCAATAAATTAGGTGTTTCTTGTAAAAAATCTTCCGATAAATCATTCGATTCTTTTAAAATAACTGGTTCATTATCTACTTCAATTTGCAATGAAGTTATACAACTATTTTTGAGTATTGTTGAAGGTTCTCCAATTTTATTGTACATAGTCGTAGAGATAGTTGAAGCATCAGGGTTAAAATCTTCACGACCTTCGTCAGGTTTTTTATAAGCAACATATTTTTCAATGCTCATGAATTTTTCTGAAAAAGTTCTCAAAACACATTCATAAAATTATTAAAGAAATAAAAAAAAAAGTAACTAAACTTACTGAAAATTGTTTAAATCGAGTCAACTTAACATTTAATAACAAAAAATAAAAACTTTTGAACTTCTTTATAAAAAATTTTTTGCAACTTTTCGAAATGACTCCTAGGGGAAATAACGCACAAATGATACTAGAAATTACAATAGAAAATCGTGCGTTAATTAAGTAAATGTAGTAATTTTTTGTCTTCAAATTTAAAATCGTGTTTTTTTTTGCAAAGGTCGTTAAATCTTTTAATTTACTTTAAATTTTTAATATACTACTGGAAAATTAAAACTTGTGACTAATAAAATTCTCCGCCCCTATTTACTTGCCGCCCTCGTGCAGCGCACGACCTCGCCCCCCCTCCCTAAAAGCCGGCGCTATATATATATATATATATATATATATATATATATATATATATATATATATATATATATATATATATATATATATATATATATATATATATATATTTATATATATATATATATATATATATATATATATATATATATATATATATATATATTGTTGTTGTTGTATGATTTAGTATTAAAAATACTAAACTCTTGATCGTTGTAAAATGCTCAATATTTAAGAAATATTTAGTTTTTCAAAAACAGAGCGTTTTATACTTAAAAATACAGAAAAAACCTGCAATTGCATTAAAAAATCTCTTTGTCCACTGAACAACAATTGCTTGTCTAACAACATTGTTTACCAAGCCACCGTAAGCTCAAATAAACCTCAATACAAAGATAAGGTATACATTGGGATAAGCGAAACCTCTTTTAAACTACGTTACGCAAACCATCTAAAATCCTTCAACATAAAAAAGTACAAGAACGACACTGAGTTATCTAAGGAAGTATGGGATTTAAAAGATAACAGTTTTACATCTTCAATCAAATGGAATATAATTAAACGCTGTAAATCATACAATCCTGCGTCAAAAATTTGTAAGCTTTGTTTAAATGAGAAATTTGAAATATTATTTTACAAATGAGATAATCTGCTAAATAAAAGAGGCGAAGTAGTTTCGAAATATAGACATAAAAATAAATTTCTTCTTTCATTATTTGATAGCGGAGATTAGTTTTCCATTAGGTCTTCTTGTACTAAGACGTCAGAACTCATTCTACTGTAGTTTGTAATTTTTAGACGGTTTTTTATATTTTTGATTTTGTGCTTCATGGCTGATGATTGCCGATAGGCAGTGATATTTTCGTACACGAGAACAAAAACGAGAACGAAAAAAAAAGCCTTTCGTTTACGAAAACGAAAACTAAAACGAAATTTATTTTAAGAACGAGAACAGAATAAAAACGATAATTTTAAATTTTCGAACGGAATAAAAACTGAATCGAAAATTATTTTAAAACGAAGTATTTTCGTTCTAGATTTGAAACGAGTTGAATTATTTGATATATATAATTATTATATTACAATACATTATAATGATATATTATTTGAACTTAATTGAATTTTATTTAATTAAGTTCGAATAAGTTTAGTTATGATATAGTTCGAATATATTTATTCGAATATATTTTTTCGAACTAAAAAAAATCAAACTGTAAGACCAACGCAACTACGCGATGAGTTTGAGTAAACTTTTTGCTGGTAGGAAGAGGAATAGAAAATGGTATGGAAATGGTTTAAATACGATGCGTCATCCGACAAATCAGTATGTTTAGTTTTACTTGATGGTGAAAAAGTATGCAATACAAAGTTGTGTGGAAAGAGCCCAACAATTCTTAAAGTTAGTTTATCTGTTAGAGGATATGTTTTCATTTTGAAACAAACGACTCATTTTTATCATTTTAGAGTAATTATTCAATAACGTATACGAACTTATTTATACATTAATTGATAAACAGATAGATAAATAAACATATAAATATACAAACAAAAAATTATATAAATATGTTTATTTTTTTCTAGCTACATTTAGCAAGAAACCATAAGTCTGTACACGTTGAGCTGGAAGAGTCGGAATTAAAGAAATTTAGTGAAAAAAAGCAAACAGGGATAAAGAGAAAAGCAGTGGATGAAAATGGACCCACTCTTTTAGAATCGTTAGAATAAAAGAAAGAATATAAATAAATAAATAGAATGAAATATAAATAAATAAATAGAATGAAAATAGACCCACTCTTTTAGAATCGTCTCTTTTACAAATCAGAACCAGACCTTGATTCAATGCATTAATCGTAGGAATACCGCATGGCCTACTAATTCACACGAGCATAAAATTCGACTAAACTCTCTTATTCAAATGATAATTGCAACATGTAATCCAGTGACATTGGTGGATAATGCGAGTTTTAAAAAGTTAGTTAATACCTTGGATTATAAATTTTTATTGCCTGCTTCTGCCAAAATTACTAGCCTACTTAATGAAGAATTTACTGTTTTAACGAGAAAACTTCGTGACTTCATATCTGAAGGCAGGCGCTTCACAATATGCCTTTATAACTGGACTAAAAAAGGTCTTACTGCTTCTTTTTTAGGAATTTCGGTTTGTTTTTTCACTTCAAATCCGAAAAACCACATACAGGTGAACAAATTGCTAATTGTTTTGAAAAATGCCTAAAATATTGGAATATTTCCAGAGAAAAAATATTGCTTGTTATTTCGGACAATGGAGCAAACATGGTCAAAGGCATAAAGTTGTCGAGAATGAAAGCTCAAACTGAACGTGATTAATGAAGAGCAGATAACAGATCTGGAAGACGATGAGAATATGACAAATAGTGAAGAGTGGGAACATGTTGACTTGATAGTTGATGTAATAGAAAACGTAGCATTTAGAAGATTGGGATGCATTGCACATGTTATACAGCTAGTTGTAAAACTTGCATATGATGGTAAATATCATGGCTTACTTTTGAAGGTACGTGGATTAGTGGGAAAAGTTCGCAAATCTTCTGTTGCATTGGAAAAAATTATCAACAAATGTGGTAAGACTGTGATCAGCGACTGTTCTACAAGATGGAACAGCACTTACTTTATGGTTCGGAGATTTCTGGAAATAAAGACATCTATCAACGAAGTGCTTGGAGACCTTAACATTGATTTACTTGCCAATAGCGAATGGATAATGCTTCAGGATTTTGTCAATCTTTTAGAACCTTTTGCCAATGAAACTGATATTCTTCAGACGGATGCACTTTCACTATCCAGTGTTATACCTTCAATACTTAATTTAGAATGTCACCTTGAGCAATTTGGAGATGCCAAAGATGTAGCAGTTAAAATGCTTGAAGATCTACGCCGTCGTTTTGCCGTTCTTTTGCAGCCAAACGATCCTAATTTTAATCCACTGCCATGTGCCGCATGTCTACTTGACCCCACATGTGCAATAGCTCTTTTAGGTAATGAGCATACACAAATCAGAGAGTGTGCAAAGAAATACATTTTGTCAGAGGCTAAAAAATCGGTGCAACATGATTTACCTTTAGCAAGTGCATCTACTCTTTCTGTTGAGATTGCTCCAGAAATAAATGGATTAACAAAATGGAAATTTTTAGCGGCAAAATAGCGAGTAGAAAAAATAAAGCTTATTCCAGGTAATGAAGCACAAAATGAACTCAACAAATATTTTATTGAAATAAGGAACAGCTCTAATTGCCAAAATGCTTTAAATTTCTGGAAGATGAGAAGTGCTGTTTACCCACATATTGCACCATTAGCTGAAGACCTCATTGCAGCTCCTGCAACTCAAGCATATGTTGAAAGACTTTTTTCA